AACAGCAAACTCGAGAAAACCGAGTAGGTTTCAGACAGAGCTGGATGTGGGTGCACTGATCATATTTTCAACCTCCGACAGGTTCTGGAACACGGGCGTACCTACCGGCGACCAACATGACCTTAAGGCTCCCTTCTTCAACTTACGCAGCCGTGTCAGGGATTATGGAGAGTTGTCATCAGAATCGAAAACAACTAGTACTGTACCCCAGGGATGTCCACTATCACCGTTCCTATTTCACTTCATCATAGACGTACTAATAGACAACCTTAGGCATGTCTGACTTCACAAGGATTTATCCAATCCCCTACCTGGAGGGCATCTGGTTGACTTGAAGTATGCAGACCATATTGTCCTGCTGCGTGAAGACGCTGAAAAAATACAAACAGAGTCTTCTGAACGCGTTGAGCGGAAATCTGAGTATGTTTGGCATTCCTTTCCCACCAGTCAAATGTAAGATTATGCTCCAGGACTGGTCTGCTGCAAGTACTCCGCTCCGAGTTTAGTGATAGGCAGTGAAGTAGTGGGATGTATCGACCACCTCACTTACTTGAGGAGTTGTATCAGCTCGAAGGAGCTGGTTGCTGACGGAATATCAGTTCGGATACAGAGGACTCGTTTGGCATTTTGCCAACTTGTGTCATCTCTGCCACCGACTAGCGAGATATCCGACTATCTATCAAAGGACGAGGATATCGCCCTTCAATTTATTCTTCTGTATTGTACGGCTGAGATGTGACCGTTAAAAGTAGAAGACGTGAAGCGGTTGCAGGGTTTCGACCACGGATATCATTGTAGCATTGTGCGCATTCAGTAGAATCACCGTATGAACAATGTTGAGGTCATGCGACAAGAAAGTCGGTTGGTGGGATTGTGAACCTCAATAAACTGGTAGGTTGGACATGTACTGCGCATACCAAGTCGAAGCTTTCCTCGACGTGCTATGCTATGAGTTGGAATAGGGTTCCTAGTGGTCAGACCAGGATCTGGCACCAGTCGATGAAGTCTGTTATTGTTGGTCTGAGCCGTGGTAAATTGTAGACAGTCTGGTTGGCGTCCCTCAGACGAAAGGAATCAGTGGTTGAGAACTCTTGGTGATATGGGTTGAAAACCGGTCTTAATGGAGCAGATGTATTCATTCCTTGACATCTAAATCTCGAATACTTTTACTTAGTTTTGTCATCAGATTGTTTATTCTCTCTCACTAACTCATATACTTTGATATCACGCTAATTCAATGCATCTGTTCTTTTTGTACTATCATGAAGTTTGGCAGTTTGATTGATCACAGCTACAAGATGTGCCTAGCTGTGTTGACATACCCTTTTGGTATGCTTACGATACAAAGAGAAAAGCCGTTGTTAACCTGTTATGTATGATAACTACTATGTCTAGTTGCAGATTTCGAAACCAGATTTTAGAACACACTACAGTAAACCAGTAGATGGTTAGGTACGATAAGTTCAGACCAGCGAATCATGGGTTTAAACACCGCTCAACATACCGCTGCTAAGCAAGCCATGTATAATTAGGTCTACACAAAAGCCTGCATACTACTACTATTTACGGTATTTAGGCAAATATAACTTTTATAACACGATACAATGACGTTAAACAGCGACATTGTTAATGCAGCAGTTACATCGACTTAGTGTAAACTATCCCCACAAACAGCAACTCAGGCAACATTCCAAAGACTGTAGATTCGCATAACATTGATAAAAGCAACAACCTGAACTAAGAATTTTTTTCTCAATCAATAAAGATTTTACACTGGTTAGGATTGTTTCTTCTTAGGAACGTACAGCATACTTTTAAATAATGATTCTGCTAAATACCAATTTTTGTGAACTCAACATAAACGTGACATGCATTTTTGATTCAGCGAGGCTTACTTTGAACTTCAGAAACTCGTTGAGTAGCTTCAACTCATTGGAATTCTCAGAAGAACTATAAGATTTCAAACAACTAAAGATCTCCAAAACTGATAAAAAGAAACAATGTTGACGGACAATATCGTTCCCAACGAGTTCCTGAAGTTCCCTGTTAGCCTCGCTGAGTCTAGAATACATATTGCGTTTACCAAAAGACTGCATGCATTATTCAATCAACCTATGAACCATGCCCTCACGAAAAATTTTCACGTATTCATATCACTGTTACTTCCGTCCCAATTTAAAATAAGAAAACTCATTGACTTTCTCAAGAAACGCAATTTAGTTTTTTTAAGGCTACATTGCGCTGAAACACCAATCAACCGAAATTCTGAGGTTACCCCACACTATTCTCGGTCACAACCGTTTGCTAACCACTGCAATTCATTCCCATCGGTACAATTACAATGCATTCGGCGTCATCTACGGTATACACATTAATTTAACAACATGAAGTTCAAACTCTTAATTAGCCTACAGAAATCAGTTGTGTTCATCTTACCGGGTGGATATGTTAGACCTTTGATGAGTAGGATAATTTGAAGATACATATCTTTGTACATATAGAGGACCCAAACTATGTGAGATAAAATAGTCCGGTTGCGTACATCTTATAGCATTTGACATTTGTTTGTAATGACGTGAGTTCCATACCGACATACAAATCCCCAAAATCAAGAAGTATGTGGTGACAAATGTTATCAAGAAGGTGAATATGTAAAAAACATACATGTCAAACACTTCTAACTCACCGTTATCAAGATCAGTATTAGTATGATGGAAAAGCAGTGAGCTCCAAGATATGGGTTACTGCACAACAGGTTTACGTTTCAGGAAGTTATCCTCACTAGGAAACTGTGGTGATTACAAGGAAACAAGACCGCCACTCAGTTAAAACTATTCATACGTTTGTATACCTTTATGCGGCCAAGAGTTTGATGAAACATTTTGAAATATGAATGGCTGCAGTAAACGCTACATCTTAAACTTCGAAAGACCTTCTAATAAGGTGACTGAAGAAGATTAGGTAGTTATTATGAAGTTGGAGGCCTGTTGTACGTAATACTAGGTACCAAACTGACTCGTAGAAGTCTCCAGAATGAGATTCATAGAAAAACAATTCATTCAAAAAGCTATGGCAACTAATTAACATCTCGCTGTTATTTCCTACTGCTGTTTAATTACAGCAGCTTCTTGTATACCATATCCAAAGAAAATCAGTACCATGCAGTGAGTTGAGATCAGAAATAATTTTCTTTTTAACGACTGACAAGGAGAAGTTCAGTAATAATGACTATATAAGACAGATAAACACCTTTTACTTACGAGAACATAACAAGCTGGAACTGCTTGATGTACACGAGATGGCTAACTTTGCAAGTTTCCCGAGAAGACTTGTTTCTACATTTTTTAGTCCTATACCTATGCAGTACAAACAAAATCTAGTTATGTTTGGCAACTAGTCAAAATCTCTTCAGAAGTTAAATTACAGGAACTATAACAGATTTTGAATCTAGTGAATGGATGGGATTATCTTCATAATTTTGCAAAAGCATATGTAAAGATATAAAACTTGAGTTAGGAGTTGCTTGGAAGAAACCATTATTTTAGGTTACAATTTAATGAGGATATAACCAGTGAGATGTTGTTCCAAAAATTATCGATGACTTCCGAAGTACTTCTTTATGTGGTTAATCCTGTCAAGTTGAACGAAAGACAATTTGCCGAGTTTTGCCACTTCCACATACATTCACCAATATAATTGATCCTGCGGTGACAGTTATATTGGGCATCCAACTAGTTGACTTGTATTACCGGGGATCTACCTTAGTAGCTGGAAAAAAGATAGTTGAAGTCTTTACGAAACTCATAATCGTATCATATCTATATATCCAACCAATGCCCGAGATTTACCACACAACCCCACCAAGTCTTTCGGATGGAGATAGAAAAAGCTTCCCATTTATGAAGCTGAGGTTATGAGAATTCAAACGAACAACCTTAACCTCAGCATCTGGAAGAAATCCATGCAGCCCTCAACCAGGGAAGACCTTATGAATGATCTTGTTTGTAGATTTTAGAATTCTGGTGTTCTTTGAACTGGATGGCTTCATCGTAAAGCTTTTATTGTCTTTCTACACAACATAGTCAGAAGAAAATGAGCTATGGGGCTTTCTCAAATGGCTCGGCAGTCTCTCTTGATGACGTTGGACGTGACTGGTTGTTTCTGTCAAGATCTTGTTATTGTCTCCTTCAGCTATCTTATTCATGTGAACCTAGACCTTTTTGGTGTTTCCTGTTTGATCATCGAGTAAGTCAGTGCCTGCTGATCGTTGGTTGACCTGAGTGCTACGCTACTAGAATCCTTTTCCTTTATTGTCACGTTTCATTTACCTACTATATTGACTATCATCCAATGAATTTGTCCTACGGCATAATGCAGTCCTATCATCTTTTTTAAGGCCCCAACATACTTTGTCTGTGAGGAAACATAAAAATATTATGACGCTGTTCTCAATATAATTATCATTACTTATACTCCTAATATTTTCATCATTTTAAAAAGATTTAATTCGAACAGTCAACATCACGCAAACAGCAAAGAACCGTCTACGTATAGACGGATAATAACGGATTATTTTCAATATGTCACAAAAGTGGGTGCACAGCATTAAAAATGACCATTGTGAACAAAATATGTCCACTCGATAAGCGAAAAGTACAGTTCTAGAGTAGATATTTAGTATTAAATATATCAAACGCCTTGGAAAAATTAGTGATTAAGGCGGGAAGTAAAATAGATACCAAACAGTCTATGTATAAAAATATTGCAAACTTTGTTGTCCGACAGTATTAATTTAATTCACAATAGGTTTCCAAGCGTGATAACAGTAGATACAAGAGAGATGAGACCACCGAGAGAAATATTGACACGAGAATCTTCCCATATGATTTCGGAGCAGTTCTGGAAAAACATATGGTAAAGAATACCATGGGGTTCTGAAAAAAACATCCACTACTCGCACGATTTGTAACTCTGGAATACAACATATGGATAAGGATTGCTTAGAACGTGGAATTTTCCGGAGGTTGTGCAATTCTTGAGTTTTCGGATGCAGACATTTTTCTGCGTACGTCTAAAAGAACATGACGTATGCAATTTCCGCGAGTCCAGTTAGAAAGAGTTGCAAACATCCGAGGATCAACCTAACCAAATATGAGAAATAAACAGCCATGAATGACAAAAAATAAAATACAATTACTTATGCTTGCAACTATGATTGAATAGACGTAGATTAGTAAAATAGACTGTTAAGGGGACATAACTCCGCAATTATATACATTGGGTGACAAGCTACGTTTATTGTGTTAGCACGACTGAAAACACCTGGTTGTCAAAATCGTGGTAGTTCGACTATGTGACCCAGTGATTGAAAATTAATTCCCAAGGCTAAATGACCCAACTGTCCACAACAAGTGGACTTCCTGCGCGTCGCGAATTCACTTACAGTGTGTTTGTTAATGTAGTTAATACGCTACTAAAATCAAGGCAAAAATGTGATGAACGTTACCAATTTGACAGAATGCATGCAGCAAAACATTAACTAATAACCAAATATTGCCCAAACGCCAATCCCTTAAACAAGAAATCCAAACTTATCAATTCCTTAGGTCGGGAAGAGTTAACTGTGAATTTGACAACCACTATTATCGGCAGCTTTCACACATGATTCAACCCTCACTGATAATTTCGGAAGATAAAATAAGATTATTAATTCATACAATTGCTTCTCTGGACAAGTTTTAGCAGAGTAGCATGGCCCCGTTTTATTTCGAGTTCCTCATCAGCTCCTGACAAACCAAAACAGTTTTACACCAATTTATACAAATATTTGCATACTTGAACCAATTTGACAGAATTACTTGCTTGAAACAAATATAGCATTGATATGACGTAATTGAAGACACAAGGATTGAGTGAATAGGTGTGCACGAGCTAATACTAAATCATCTTTATTTCAAGCTAATAGTTTCCTATTAAATTGATTCAGATTTGCAAAAACATTTGTATAAATTGACGTCAACTATGTTTTGAGTCGTAAGCAGCTGATGAAAAGGCTAGAAAAACAAAGTGGATTCCTACTATTTTTCTAAAGCTTGTTTTCGCTCTACTTAAGATAACTACTGCCAGGCTGCTCATAACTGAATGTTTCAACGTTCATGGATAGGAGACCACCCTCCTCATCTATAACTATAAATATCATAGAAACGGGCTATAAAACTAATGTTCAAACACGAGATTGCCAGGCAGGCTTCAGTATTGGTCGGGGGGAGGGGTATCAACCAGATATTCACCCTTCGGCACAAATACCAGTGGCCAATACCAGCCGCATTTCATGATCTGAAAATGGCATTCGACTACGTCGGTCGAGAGGTCTTACAGCAGTGTCTCTCACTGAAACAATACTGGATAAGTACATCACTCTGTTGAGGACTGTGCAAGAACACCCGTCAGCGCCTATGAGGAGTTTCGTGAGGTGAGTTGTGTACCTTGAGTGGGGTTCACTGCCTCCATTCCTAACTAAATTTGTCATCGACACCATTATAGAGTTCTCCGCCTCCCCTTTATGACTTCACAGGAGACTACATAGTGCTGGAATATCCAGATGAAATATTCGTTCAAAGTTCATGTGATAAGAGAAAACAGGTGCTAGGTACTAGAAGTGATCTAACAAAAACCCGTTCAAAAAGGGGAAACGTATCGATATATCCTTCACTGAGTCGTCATACACAATTTTTGTCATTCTCCTTTGCTTTCATTTCTTAACATTTCAACAATTTTCACTGCTCTCTCCTTCAATTATTTCACATTCATTTCACACTGTCGTCTGGTGATGTGTTATGAGCTCTGAGAAGGCCAACCACTAAAGAGTATTGACAGTTCCACGCTGAAAAGACTAATAAACATTTTCAAATCACAGGCAGACAAATCAAAGTAGTACCTCGCACCAAAGAGCATTGGTTCGAGTTGCACGTAGAGAACTAGTGAACAGAAAAAAACTGATATCAAAAAGATGAAAGTATATGAAAGGAACAGAAATTTAGAAATCAAAACAAGTATAAATGTTTAGCCTTTAGTAGACATCAAGGAGTGGATACATCTGCTCCGTAGTGACCGATCTTCAGCCATGTCACCAAGAGTTCTCAACCATTGATCCCTATCATCTCGAGGACCCCTATCAGGTAAGCTACTCCTCCTTACACGGCTCAGATCAACAGTCAGAGATTTCATAAACTAGTGCCATGTCTTGGTTTGGCCACCCTGAGGCCTTTTCCAACCTTATTCAACTTCTCCTATCATTGGACGTCAAGTTAGACGGTGGCTCAGTACATACATACCCAAGCCATCTCAGTTGATGAAGGTTCACAGTCTCATTGATCGGCTTCTCTAGTACCCTTCGACTAACCTCCATATTTCTCACACGGTGATCCCTCCATACGCGAACACCGCTACGAAGATACCTGCGGTCAAAAACCTGCAATCTCTTCATATCTTCTACTTTCAACGACCGTGTCTTGCAATCATATAACAGGAGAGAACGGACTGCAGTGCAGTATACTTGTCCTTCGATAGATGGTCAGATATCTCGCTGGTTGCAGAGATGATGCAAGTTGATAAATGTCAAACGAACCTTCTATGACCGAGCTGAGATTTCGTCAGCAACCAATTCGTCTAGGCTGACCCAATTTCCCCAGTATGTGACGCGGTCGACATATTCCATTGCTTCACTCCCTATAATTAAACTAGGGGTAGGTCTAGAACAATCCTCAAGCACCATCTTACATCTCAGAGGTGCGAAATACATGGCAAATATACTCGGATTTCTCCTCAATAAATTCAAAAGACGCTGCATTTTTCCAGCACCTTAACCTAACAGGACAATATCATCTGCATACTACAAGTCAATCACACGACCTTCGAGTAAATCAATCCCTGTGAAGTCAAACATACCTAAGGTTAAGTACATTAGTGCATCCATAACGAAAGTGAACAAGAATGGTGATAGTAGGCATCCGTGGAGAACACCACTAGTTGGCGCCGATTCTGATGACAACACTATATAAGCCTTCACATAGCTGCGTGAATTCGAGTGAAGAGCTTTGATTAGCGTTATAAACTTGCTCCGCACTCCCTTCACAGTTAAACACTACCAAAACACTTCATGGTCGACAGAGTCAAATCTATCAGGTCAAGAAATATGGCAAGTGTCGGTCGCCGGCAAATAGGTCTGTTTCAAAACTTGTCGAAGGTGGGTAGTGTGATCGACACACCCTCGTCCAGGTCTGAAGCCTACCTGGTTCTCTCAAGCTCCAGGTAAGCGTCAAATAACTATGGAGACAAGGGTCCAGATACGGTGTTAGTTAAACTGATCCCCCTATGATTGTCACAAGACTTCTCCCCTTTCTTATACACTGGAATGATAAGTGGGTCAGACTGGCCCAATGGGACTGCATCTGATTCCCATAAACTACCAAGTACCTTCGTTACACTACTCAGTAGTTTTCTACCTTTATCTTTAAAAACTCCAGGTGGCAAACCGTCAGGTCCTGCAGCTTTTCATCATTTCAAGTTCGAAACGCCCTTCTCGACTTCCAGGACAATTGAAGAACCAACATCTGCACCCAACTCAGGTCCGGGCTAGATGCTTGGTAACCAAAATGTGGTTGTGCCCCAGTTGAACTACTTTTCGAAGTGTTCTGTGAAACTTTCTAGCCTTCTATGCTTAGAGGTTATCAGCGTCCTATCCCTTTCGGTGGTGGTCTCCCTTACCGTCATTTCTTCCAGCTAGTGTCTTTCCTCGATAAGCTTAAATAATTGTGGGGTATTACCTAATTCTAATGTTTTCCTCGCTCTCTTTCGCCACTCACCACTACTCAGGATCAATGCAAAGACGCATAGTCAATTTACGTCCAAGTTGTCTTCACTCTTTATTGTGATCAAAGCCAGCTGGGATCAGACTTCTAGAACCAATCAGTCCGCGTGACGTTGCGAAAACCCACTGACTTTTGCCAATTTAAGTATATAGGTTATCAGCTGTGTTTACATATATATATATGCATGCATATAAAATTTCTTACTTCGCCAGTGTTTTCATTGACACCATGCATGCGTATTTTGGTAACAAACCTAAATAAAAACAGAGAAGGTGTAACAACTATGCTTAAAAGTTAGCAATTATCAAATTTTATTCAACAGATAGTAGCTCATTTAAGACTTCTGGTGTATAAAATTAAGCTGTCATACACTACTTGGCTAATCGAACGAAAATGACACGAACAGACAGTCTGCCAACGTAAAGTTGCAAATGCAGTAGCAGAGTTAAATTATTTAGGGGAAAACAATACGCAAACTAGAAAGTCAGCTTACCTAACCGTAGGAGGGACATCTGGATATTTAGGTCCGCACTCAATCCTCAACTCATAAATTCGATTTTCAAAAGGGGTGCGTGTTGGACCAAGTATCATGCCATTCCATTTAGTGAGCGTAGCGTCACCCATATTTTCTAATCCCCAACTGATACTTCCCTCCTGAGGTCCTTTTTGTCCTTGTTCCAGTTCATCAAGAAGATAAAATTCCTAGGAACACAAACTGAAAATGCAAAATATGAACAAATAAATAAGTTTTGGAAAGATACGTTAATTCTACCTAAATATTCGAGTTGGCACGATAGGAAAAATACGAAACTGTGATTACAATCATAATACGACTATGTGCACCAAATGCTTTGCGCCCAGAAACGGTAAAATGAAATTTAAGATTTAAAAATTATGAACTCAATAAACTGAAAGTCACTAGTCAATGATCGATTAAGAGTTTAAAATCAGGTATAGGGTAACCGGTAAAACAATGTAACAGATGTGTCCAAAACTATAATCTTCAAACATCAATGAGGGAGACTATGACATAGGAACTTTACATGAGAAGGAAGTGTTGGTCATCTGACGTTACCTTGATGCAAGCTTGGTTTGGTAAGTTGAGCAATAAAGGCAGTGGATAACTGCATTGTGGTAACGGTCCAACAGCGGAGTCATATTGCTAGTTGGACTGAATTACGATGACAGAAGGACTGCTTCGTGAGACTGGCACTATCAGTTGTCGTTTTTTTTCATTTGAAGCTAGTTGTATTTAGTAGGCTTCTGAAACTGGATATACAAATCAATGTAGAACTTTCGACCAAATTATATCAGTTCAAGTCGGTACACTTCACAACGAAAGTGGATAGAAAAGAATGATGAATGAAAGTAGATAGCAATATGAATAGGAAGAGAGTAAATGAAGGTTAGAAAAAATTTATAGGGTGTTAAATGGTGAATACATGCATCACATTGATCAAGTCTGAGTTCCCAAATACTAAAGTAAAGTCAAGAATGACTAATTATCAACCAACCTCCAACAGTATAAAAATCCCACGTAGTTACTTTCTTCGTTCTTGTTTGTTTGTTATTTCTTTCGCTTGTTAGGTATATTACCATGACAGTTGCAACTTACTAAACGACGACTGATGTTTTCAATTTATGAAATGAGGTGCTCACTTTAACCATACTTATAACTATACACTGGACGTTCTGAAGCGCAGGATCTACAACGGATCAGGTGACAGATCTTACTAATCAAACACCTAGCTTTTTTTTTATCATAGCTTCATACTTTCTAGAGGCACGGTTTGAGAGTATAAATTATGTGAAGATATGGATGTTTTTGTACCACTAAGATGGATTCTGCTGCATCACTTCAAGTTCTAGTAATCGACTTTTCTATGCAATACGTCAAAGACTCCAGTAAAGTTATGTGATACATTTGATCTACTGAAGTTTTTCTAGATTTTAAAACAACTTTCTGCAAATCATCAAGCACAGAGATAATATTATGTAGTAATGTAAAATCAGACGAGTAAGTGGATCTTCTGTAACAAGGAACGAATTTTATCTGTTTTTTGACAGCTCACGATGCTACTCAGTTGGTTAGACCAGACCAGGTGGAACAGAAAGCATTCGCTAACTTGTATCATCTCTGCAACCAGCGAGATATCTGACCATCTATCAAAGGACAAGTATACTGCACTGCAGTCCGTTCTCTCCTGTTATATGATTGCAAGACACGGTCGTTGAAAGTAGAAGATATGAAGAGATTGCAGGTTTTTGACCGCAGGTATCTTCGTAGCGGTGTTCGCGTATGGAGGGATCACCGTGTGAGAAATATGGAGGTTAGTCGAAGGGTACTAGAGAAGCCGATCAATGAGACTGTGAACCTTCATCAACTGAGATGGCTTGGGTATGTATGTACTGAGCCACCGTCTAACTTGACGTCCAATGATAGGAGAAGTTGAATAAGGTTGGAAAAGGCCTCAGGGTGGCCAAACCAAGACATGGCACTAGTTTATGAAATCTCTGACTGTTGATCTGAGCCGTGTAAGGAGGAGTAGCTTACCTGATAGGGGTCCTCGAGATGATAGGGATCAATGGTTGAGAACTCTTGGTGACATGGCTGAAGATCGGTCACTACGGAGCAGATGTATCCACTCCTTGATGTCTGCTAAAGCTTGAACATTTGTACTTACGGTTATCTTCAAGTTATTCACTCTCTCACAGATTTGTTTACTTTGATTTCACTTTTCGATCTACTTTTTACTTTTACACTACCCTGAAGTGCGGCAATTTGAACCGATGCACTTGTGTGCGAGGTTCTACGGTGATTCTGTTTGTCTTACCAATATTCAGACACTTCATGAACTGTTACATTGCCTCCACCGGTTATTTTGCTATTTTTTTAAGCTGGTTATACTTTAGGTAACATTAAGCGTCCATGTAGCTAATACACCGTAGGTTTAATATTTACCAGGTAGCTAGTTGGACGATAGTTCAATTTACATAACTAGTCACTCCTTTTCCCGATACTTTATTCTAAACGCGTGCTTTGTGAGCAGTGGTTTCAACGCACGTGAATGATATTATCAAAACATCAGTAGTTAATTACGTGAAACCATTGCGAACTCTTCACAATAACTAGGTTACATAACCATGCACAAAAGCAGACCTTGAGCATTATACAGTCCCTTAATATGCACTTAGACAGCTCGCATATGCCATAGGTTTGCGAACGCCAATTTGATTTCATCTAACAGTAAACCACCAAAACAATGAAATGGTGAAGAAATTCATATGTACTGCTTCTTATTTTTAAGTAGAATTTTGATGCACAACAATCCCGAAGAAAAAGGTTGCATTCATATGAGGCAATGCACCCCGAAGACTTAAACTAGACGCTAGGTGTTTAGGTTCTATTTTTTTTATCGCGTATGCTTGACGGGAATGCATCAAATTTGCTCTAGGTTCATCAAATGAAATACAAGAAACATTATAACCTTTATTGGTACGTCTATAGTAAGGTTGAATACAAAATAAGGGTGAACATTCTTGGTGGACACTATTTGAAATATATAACTACGAAAGTAACTCAACTAAGGCTCCAACAAGACCATAAGTTTTTCAGTACAGAAAAGATCTACCCCGAATTCCGTTTATTATCTAGACCGGACCAAATTAATGAATTGCATAATAATTCTTAACTTCCTCACCGATTAGTTGTCCTCCAAATCCAAACAAAAACAACACATAAGTGCATTGATTAACGTAGTTCAATCAGGAAATATCAACATGAGACCTGGCATTACTGTAACTGTTAAGGTTGCCACACTTTACACTACCACATTGAAATATAAAGAGTAAGGTGAAAGACAGAAGCAGAGAAGTGCGATCAGAAGTTGTAGAACGTTTTAAAGAAGAATTGATAAATCTAATAAAGGGTGGTGTGTGAAATGTCACTGTAAACGAAAGTCAACCATACCATCTAGTCTCCAACCACCGACTTCAGAGTTTATGTTTCTTCACATGATACAAACCAACAGATATTTAACAAACTGATGCCGTATTTTGAACTGACCACGCTTAGCTGATTTAAACCTCCTGGGTCTCGATTGGTTTGAAAAGCTTGCTCTTTCGAATACGCCTCTACATGCCATTTGCAGTCACATCAAGTATCCGCTGATATAAGCCAACGTTTCCCAGATGTATTCAAACCTGGGCTCGGTAGCTGCATAGTATCTCAAGCTATCCTCCGCCATTGAGACGACGCCAACCTGTTTTCCAGCCCAAGAGACCCGTGCCTTATGCATCATTACCACAAATCGACGCAGAAATCTCCCGTCTGGAAAGACAAGGTGTTCTCACACTAGTTTCTTACTCTGCGTGGACGGCTCCCATTGTGGTTGTCAGAAAGTCAAGTGGCTCTATTCGCATATGTGCAGATTTTTCTACAGGGCTTATTGCACCACTGGGACAGCATCATTATCCACTTCCAGCACCGGAGGGTATTTTTACTGTCCTCAACGGTGGTACATGCTTCGCTAAAATTGACCTGGCCGACGCGCATCTACCAATCGAGGTGGCACCAGAATGCCGAGAATTATTAACAATTAACACACGTCGTGGACTATATACCAGTACAACCGTCTCCCATTTGGAATTAAAACATCTCCAGCAATTTCCCAACAAATAATAAACACTACACTATCTGGTATACCCGGGGTAGCTGTGTATCTGGATGATATTCTCATTGTGGCGACCCTCTTAGAACAGCTACAAAACCGACTGCATCAGGTGCTGAAACGAATGGAAGATAACGGGTTCCGGCTTCGTACCGAAAAATGTCAGTTCAACCTACATTCAGTCAAATATCTGGGATTTATTTTTGATGCTTCCGGTCGCCGACCAGACCCCGAAAATATTCGCGCCATACAGCAATTGCCAGAACAACTGATATGCCCTCCCTACGATCATTTTTGGAACTGATTACGTATTATTCAGCATTCTAACCCTCATTGCGTGCTGCGAAGAAGCCGTTAAGTCACCTCCAGGGTAAAGACGTCCCGTGGCGGTGGACCAAAGAATGTGCAACAGCCTACCGTCAGCTAAAATCTGTTATCATCCGACCTTTTGCTGACCCACTACGACCCGCGGTTGCCAATCGTTATAGCCATAGATGCTTTATCACACAGAGTTGGGACTGTAATCCTAAATGTCTTCCCAGATGGTAAAGAGGTCATCATGCATGCTTCTCGAACGCTGTCTATCACAGATCGGAAACATAGTCAGATTGAGAAAGAAGCTTTGGCCATTGTTTTTGCCGTCCGTCGTTTCCATAAGCTGGTCTATTGCCGCAAATTTAAGCTACTTACCGACCATAAACCGCTACTGGTGTTCCGGTTCACTCTGTAAATCGTCCACAACGATGGGCCCTAACATTACTAAGATATGATTTTGACATTCAGTTCTGATGCACCCAAGAGTTCGGCCAAGCCAATGCCTTGTCCCGTCTTATAAGCGAATATCCTACGACCAACGAAGACAAAGTTATTGCAACAGTTTCAACAGATTTCGCAGCTTTTGACTTAACCGCAGCCATCAGA